TATTGGCATCTTTCTGTCTAGCACATCAACCTTCTATGTTGGAGCCTGACGATTTTTTTTTAATCCCAAATGGCTAGCCAGTTGTCTATTTATACAATGAATAACAGTGTTTCCCTCCTGGTTCTAATTCTCATTCTTCAAGTTCTCTTCCATTGCTCTGCTTATTACTACAATACTCCTTTTTTTTTAAATTAATTTGCTTTCTAATATATTGTAATTACTAACAGGCAAGTCCCTACCCTTACCCTTCTTTCTGAATATTCCTGAATTTACTCTTGCATATTTATTCTTTCAGATATACTCTACCACAGAACTGATTCTTGGAGCACCTTTTCTTAATAGAGTACTTACAAAACATCTGTATTTGATTGGTAATACATACAAGCTAGTGTTTGCCTGTATCTTCTGTATAAGTTGGAGTTTTGTCGTGTTGATTTCTTTCAGCAGCAGCTTATGGCAGCTGAGCTTATCCCAGCTCTTGTTCCAGTCTGCTACTTCAGCAGCAGATTTTGGAGGTGCTCTCTCTCCTTTCTCTTCAATAACTCCCAGAGCTATAAAAACCTTTGACTGTCAGTTAGGTACCTTAAGGATCTTTCTAGTGGTATCCTTATTCCAATCAAATCATTGTACGATCCTTAGAAGGGATCTTGGAGGACTTCTAATCTAGTAGTTTTTAAGCTTTTTAAAAAAGGCAGCTGATTTTTTAAAATTAAAGAAATATTATCTAAAGCCCCAGTATCTAAAAAGAGTATAAATAAAGTGCTTTGTTTAAGAAGAGAGTGAATTGAGTGGAGATTAAACCATCAAGCTCTTTGATGCCCTGATTTTGGTCCTTGAGGCACCTCAGTGGAACTCTACTCCAATTTTATTCATCCTCCTCTTTTTACAAATGAGAGACCTGCCTTCCTGTGTTGTTAATTGCCTTCCTGGGTTGTAGCTGAGATAGAGAGTGGCAGACCTTCAATTCAATAGCTTCTCAGTTACAAACTTTTTCTGTTACACCATGCTGCTTCTAATGGAATTACTGCATTCTTTTTTTTTTCTTTCTTTCATTTTTTTTTCTTTTTTTGGAGGATGGGTGGAGAATTAGGTTTGTTTATTTATTTATTTATTTACTTACTTACTTACTTTTAGAGGAGATACTGGGATTTGAACTGAGGACCTTGTGCATGCTAACCACGCACTATACCCTTGAGCTATACCTACCCCCTCTGCATTCTTAAAAGTTGTAATGACCTACATCTGTATTTTAAAATCAGCATTACTTTCCCTTACAGAGATATCAATTAAATTGCTTCTTGGTTCCCATTAAAGTAAGGAAAAATAAGTGTCATTAAATATTTGTATGTTGAAAATTTATCTGATATAGAATAGTAAATTTATAATTAAAAATTAATTCATCTATACATTTATGACTTATTTACATTAACACAATACTTTCTTATTTTATATTTTTTAAAAGTTAAAAACTTTTAAAAGTTGATTATTCCAAGGCCTATTGATAGTGGTGGTTATCTTGATAGTGTTGTCATTTGTCAGATTGTCAAAGTACTAGTTCTAGAGATGTATCAATTTCCAATATGATTGGAAGTAAGAAACATAAGATTCGTATTATCAATTTTTTAAAAATAATAAAACAGATTGGAGATTTGCTTAAACACCATTTTTTTCTGTCTTTTAGTGGGAATACCTCTACCTCCCTAGAATTATTCTAGGGACATAAGTAAGGGCATCTTCTAAAAAATTAGATTTCCTTTGCTAAAAAGTAGAAACAAATAAAAACCTTATAATTGGGATAAAATAAATACTGACATAGGTTTAATTTTTAAATGTTATTGGGAGAAAAAGTCTGCTTTCTAGTACATTTGGAAGATCACACTTGGCAATGTCAGTGTTACAAAATGGACTGTAGATAAACTAAGAATACAGTTGAACCATTATATATATAATAACAGATCTCTGGATATAAAAATGAAATTAAGGTGACATGAAAACATTATAAGAGTAAAGCTTAAAAAGATACTTATTTTTTATTTTATGAATATTTGTTATTTGCCTGTAAAAGCAATATATTTGTCCTTAGTTAAAAAAAAAAAAAAAGAGTAGCAATTTGCCCTAACAGATTTTCCAGCTGAAATAATTTTTAAAGTTATGTTAGTACTTTTTGCATCTTATTTGTCCTTATTTAGATTTTAACCTAGCTCTTGGTTCTGATCTTTGACTTATGTTTCTTACCTATTTTGTCCTTCCACTTTGGATTATAAAGGCCTGAAGAGCAAGAAACTGTATTTGGTATTTGCATTTCGATTTGCAATACTTCTCCAAGCCATAGTGGAGCCTGGCATAGAAGGAAAAGTGAGCGATACTAGTGCTGTCTGTATTTAAAATGTTGAAGTTTGGTGATGAATGCTGGAGAGGGTGTGGAGAAAGGAGAACCCTCCTACACTGCTAGTAGAAATGTAGTTTGGTGCAGCCATTATGGAAAACAGTATGGAGCGTCCTCAGAAAAGTAAACATAGACTTACCATTTGATCCAGCAATCCCACTCCTGGCTATATATCGTGAGGGAACTTTAATTTGAAAAGCTACATGCACTGTAATGTTCATAGCAGTACTATATACAGTAGCCAAGACATGGAAACAACTTAAGTGTCCATTGACAGATGACTAGATAAAAGAAGCAGTGGTATAGTTATACAACGGAATACTTCTCAGCCATAAAAAAGAATAAAGTAATGCCATTTGCAGCAACATGGTTGGACCTAGAAATCATCATTCTAAGTGAAGTAAGCCAGAAACAAAGAAAAATACCATATGATATCACTCATATGCAGAATCTTTAAAAAAAAGCAAAAAGAGGATACTAATGAACTCATCTACAAAACAGAAACAGACTCACAGACATAGTAAACAATCTTATGGTTACTGGGGAGAAGGGGGTGGAAAGAAATAAATTTTGGGAGTTTGAGATTTGCAAATTTGAGCTTCAGATTTGCAAATATTAGTTACTATATATAAAAATAGATTTAAAAAATTTCTGTATAGTAGAGGGAACTATATTCAATAACCTTTAATGAAAAAGAATATAAAAAATATGTATATGTATGGCTGGGACATTGTGCTGTACACCAGAAATTGACACATTATAACTGAGTACTTCAATTTAAAAAAAAAAAATTGATGTTTGGGTTTTCTTTCCTTCTTTCTTTCTTTTTTTTTTTTTTTGCATTGGTTTTGATTTTTAAAAGGTAATTCATTAAGATTTTTTAAAATCTTGGTTAGGGAGTTTTTTGGCACCCTTTTAAACTTTGCACTGGCCTTACCCTCCTTGCTTAAGGTCCTAAGTACATTGTAGACTGCTTTGTTTGTAGCAGGCTCTCAATACATATTTTGTTGGATGTATTATTCCATTCTGCTTGTAGACTGTGACCATTTACTGTCTTTCAGATATCTTATAGTCCTATAGGAAAATAAGAATCAAAAAAGTTATTTTCCCTATGGTAGGGGAGAATAAAATCAGAAAAAAAAATAGAAAGAAGAAAGTGTTACTGATCTGAAAGGTGTCTTTTCTTCACTTTGCACTACTTAGAGCATAGAGAAGTTGAGAATTGGATTTCAGTGGGGAAATTAAATAGAAAAAGTTTAAAAAAGTTAAATGGGTAAATCTTATGTATTGGTTTGCTTTGTCAATTATTTAGAATCTTGCATAAACCCAGAATACTATACCTGTCCATGTTCAAATTTAACCAGTTCTTTTTTAATGGAGCTCAAGAACAATCTCTCAAAAAATTACTTGGTAAACTGTATGCATTATGTGTGTTGTGTTGTGAATCTTGATTTTATCTATTTTCTTCTGCTAATGTAGATTTATGATTATTACAGTAGTATTTTAATGTTGACTATGGCATTTTCATAAGGAACTTAGCATCTAATTTGTTCAAAGATTAGGTACTAAGCAGAATTTGATATTGTGAAACTTTTAGTTCCCTGTCATTTGAAATTCTCAGATTGGCAGTCTAAATGTATGGCTCAAACAAATCACTTTTGGAATTTCCACACAAATTAAATGGCTAATCCTCCAATGAAATATCATTAAATTTGTTTTATTAAATATCAGTGATCAAGAGACCATGAATTATTCTAAGGATTTAATTCTTTCCAAATACCATGCTATGCCCTGTCCTTCTATTTGTATGTGTGTGTGTGCATTCGCGCGCGTGCATGCGTAAGAGAAAACTATCAGAATTAGAGAAATTTGAGTGGATAATAGTAGAGTGAAATATGCTCAATTTTTCTGTTTTCATATCAAAGAAACAATTGTATCTTAGTGCTGTGGTATATTGAGGAAACTGACTATGCATAGTAGATTTTGATTTTAAGTAGAAAAATTGCACACAGCATATAAGCTTTAAGTGGATGTAATCTATGAAACTTTTATATAACAATTAGTTTCTTTAAGGGTGTTGACATCTTTAGAACTACTCAAGCTGGTTTACATTTTATAGAGCTGCCCCATTGTTCTTTAGTCACCCTAAAGATACTTAACAAGCCCTCAGTATGAAGGAGTGTAAGAAACGGTAATATATGAGAATAATAGAAGAATAATATCTCTGAATTCTTTTCTTTAGGACCTTAGTTGTTATTTGGCATGTGACGAAATTTTTGATATAGAGTGTAAGAGCTAGGGATTATGTGGGAATAATAGAAAAGTTAGTCTGAGGGAATGAGAGTTGATTGATGAAGTAGGACAGTTCTGTGGCGCTAAAGATGAATTTCAGTTACTAATTTGTCAGTAATTTATAGTCTTCAAACTTGTCCGTTTTGAGAGTGTAAGGGGTAGATCTATTTGAACATGCTTTTTCTCTAAAGAGTACAGACTTCAGCAAAAAAATCATTTAAATAACTAGCATTTTTCAAACAGCAAAAAAAATAGTAAAATACTAATGTTTCTGTACCTCTTTTCTCAATTCTTACTTCTGCGTGATTTTTTTCTTTAATAGGAAATCAAACCTCAAAGCCATTACAACCATGGGTATGGTGAACCCCTCGGACGGAAAGCTCACATTGACGATTACAGCACATGGGACATAGTTAAGGCTACACAGTAAGTTTTTTGTTATAGTTGTTTTCTTCTTTGACATCTATATTTTAAGTGAAATGTGAATACTTCTGTTTCTTCCTCCTTTTGATGTTCTCTCTCTGTTGAACATGTGTGTGGCCTTCTAGCTTCCCAAGAAAACATCTGAGCTTTCCAAAGCCCCTGTGGGTATCTCACTCCTCAGCTTTTGCTTGAGCTTTTTGATTTGTTTCTTGTGTGTCACAACTGTTATCCATCCTCTCAAACTACTATGATGTTAAACTATTCGACAACCCCCACCCCTCAGCCCCACCAGAGTGAAGCTTTTAATGAGTCTGGGTGAGGTCCAATAGATAAGCCTTTCAGATGGACTCTTCCAGTGGGAATGAAGCTTTGAGAGAACTCCATCCCTATTCTGCTCACTCTGGTATCAGTACCAGGAATACAGATTTACTTTTCAAGGCTGCTGGGGAGCAGAGAATGGGACTATGATACTTTACAACACCACAGAGTCCTCTGTGCTTCCTGAAATTCAGCTGATTTCTTGGCTAAATGTTCTTTGGGTTGCTGAAAGCCTTTCCAGAGTTCTGAAAAAAGTTGATTCTGCCAGTTTTTCATAATCTTTTTGGAAAAGCAAACTTTTGGAAGTCCTTAGTCCACTGATGTCACCCTACTTTCTTGAATGTTACGTATAATAAAAAATCAAAGCACATTGTGTCAACTGTATTTAGCAAAGTATACTGTTCTACATTCATTTTTCCTTTTGAAACTTTGCTCCTTCTGTCATCTCCTTTCTCTTCTTTGTTATTAATCTGTCTCACCCTAATGCATCATTTCCATCAGCACATATATACTCCAACATCTTTCATCTTAAGAAAAAAACAACCATCTTACTTTATTCCTCATATATGCTTCTAACTATTCTGTTTCTTGAAAAGTATCTATGAATGCTGTCTATCATTTCTACTTTTTAAAAAAATTTTTTTTATTGAGTTATAGTCAGTTTACAATCTTGTGTCAATTTCTGGTGTACAGCACAGTTTTTCAGTCATACCATGAGTATACTTATATTCATTTTCATATTCTTTTTCACCGTGAGTATCATTTTTATCTTTTAAAACATTTATTTAAATTTTGAAGCATTTCAATCCTACAGGTAAATATATAGAAGAACATAACTGTCAGATTAAGCAGATGCTAACATTTTGCTGTAATTGCTACAGGTTGCTCAAATTACTTTCCCTTATCTCCCCAAGGAAACCTCTCTTGAAATTGCTGTAAATCATTCTCATGAACATTCCTATACATTTCTACAGACATCTATAGGCAAAATATGCTATTATAATGTATGCTTAAAATTTACATAAATTATATTCTACTCTACAGATCCTTTTGCAACTTGCTTTTTAAAATAAAAACAAAACTATATAGCTTTCGTGATGTATCAGTGTTGGTAAATGAGAGCCTAATTTGTCCTGTGTAACTGCTTTGTTGTATTCTATCATTCTTTACTGAGATATACTTAAAATTGTTTCTACTTTTCCTTTATTTCAAACATTGCATCAGTGAATGTCTTTCTCCCTGTTCCCCCAAGTACATAAGCAGGTGTTCTTCTAGGGTGAGCAACTCAGTTGGAATTTCTGGCTTGTTCGCTGTGTTCTTTTTCAACTTTACCAATTATTGCCAAATTGATTTCCAAAGTGGCTATGCCAGTTTATAGTTTCATCTGCAGGAAATGAGTTCTTTTTTCATCGCATTTTTGCTAAATCCTAGTTTTGTCACACTTGATAATTGTTACCAGTTTGCTGGTTGTGAAATGTTTTTTCTCTCTTTTGATTGGCCTTTTTCTGATTATAAAAGGTGTTGAATATATTTTCTATGTTTATTGGCCATTTGGGTTTCTTCCTTTGTGAATTACCATTTTAAATTTACTGATTTTGAGTTCTTTTGTCTTTCTGTAATTGGTTTGTATGTATTATGTATTTTGATGGTGTCTGTGAAGAAGTTAGTGGGATCTGTGTTCCTTTAATGCCTTCTAAGAGTCCTGTCTGCTATTCTCCCAGCCCCTTCCCACCCCGAGTCAAGTCATGCAGCTCATGATTCAGCACTCCTCTCCAGTGTGTCCAAACCCATTTTTTTCTGCAGCAATGTGCTGGAAATTCTGTGGAAACCTGGACTTCCACAAAGGCTCTCTCATCTGTGGGTGACTGTCTAAGACAGTGTTGTCTGGAGCTCCCAGACAATGGCTAAGAGGGGCTAGAGTCAGTGCTTGAGTTACTGCAAGGCTCACAGCTGGGACTAGATCTGAATGCCTGTTACCCAAAGCATGGGTGGGTGAGACTCCTTCCAGCTCCCTTGGCCTATGGTGCTAGATCCCATAGCTCCCACCTTGGTCCGTGGATAGGTGCTGAGTTATTGTTGGAAGGGGACAAAATGATGGATGTCTTATTCTATCATGATGCTGATGTCACTCTGAGGCCCATTTGTAAATACTCTTCTTTTCTCTCCCATTTGTTTAATCTTGTATAGTGCCACATTGTTTTACTTATTTCTTAGTTTTCGAAATTGTCTCAGATATTCTTTTTTTAATTTATTTTTTTCTTATATCTTTTTTCTTAATTTATATATTAATTTTTTTAATGGAGGTACTGGGGATTGAACCCAGGACAATGCATGCTAAGTGTGCACTTTACCACTGAGCTACACCCTCCCCCCATCTCAGCTATTCTCGACCTGTTACTCTCACAAATGAATTTTAGGGTTCTACTTGGAAAGTTCATGTGATATTCATTTGGGATTTTAATTAGGCTTTCATTAAATTTACAGATTAATTTGGGGAAATTGGGGTATGTATTTCTTTAGGTCTTACTTTAATATCTTTCATTAACCTTTCTTGTAGTGGGAGTAGTATAACTGAATACGCTTCTTCATTATGATTTTAGATGGTTTAATATTTTATGTTACAATGATATGGAAATCTGGCTCTAAATTAATTTCATTTGGATACTTGGTTTTAATGACTTTTGGCTGAAAGAAAGACAAATCTCACAAAGATGCATAATTCCCAAATGGAAGAATTACAACATATGCTGTATTTATTAAGTCATAGTAATTATTTTTTTAGGGCTATACACTAAGTAAAGATTTTACTGAGCTTTACCTTGTAAATATACATTTTCTGATTCTAGGCTTGCAAACTAATCAGGTTTTGGCATTTTTGTAATTATAGCAAATGGGTTCACATATGTTAGAAAATTGTTTCAAAATTTTTCAGTGTGTTCGCATAAGAAAATTTTTACAGTTGTAGTGTAAGCTTTTTCAGAAACTATATTATATAATGATGGAAACATTTCCAAGCATAAAACTGTTAAAAAAAGTTCTCATTATAGTAGATGTTTTACTGAAATAAGAGTCGTTACTTTCTCACTGTGTCTGAAGTATTCCCCTTGCCTTGAAGGGGAACAGACTAAACATCTTTATGCTTCTTAAGAATACAATGGACCATTGAACAACACAAGTTTGAACTGCTTGGATCCACTTAAATGCAGATTTTTTTCCAATAAATGAGCACTTGTTTAATCCACAGATGTGGAAACATGGATATGGAGGGCCAACTGTGGGTAAAGTTATATGTGGATTTTTGACTGGAGGAGGGTTGTTGCCTATAACCCCCATGTTGTTCAAGGGTCAGCTGAATATGGTTGGTAGCATACTAGTCACAGTTATTTGCCATCACTGCCTCTGCCCTCCTCCCCAGAAAAGAAACACTTGTCTTTTTTGTTAAAAGGAAAATGCGTACTCACTTTTAAATGTTAGAAAAATAATCAACAACTCTTTGTATATAGTTAGGATTTTTATCATCACTTATTCTAAGTGTGAGGTAGAGTTTGCTCTTTGAGGTAACAGGCCTCGTCACTTAACTGGGTACATGTAAACAATTTTCTGAAAAAGAACGAAGAACTGAAGGTACTGCTGTCATCTCCTGTGAATTGTGGAACTCTTGCTCTTCCTTTAGGTGGATTACCTTGTGCACGTTTGAGTGTGTGTGTGTGTGTGTGTGAATATGTGTACACATGCAGGACAGAGAGAGTATAGTGCAGCAGTGAGACACTGCAGGCTGTATGAAATACTAGTGAAGCTTCACTTCTTTCTCTGTTAGCTAAAACATGAGTATAGGTAGTTTTAGTATTTGCTTTTAGTGTCCCATTATTGTGCCACCTTTCTCCCAGCCTCTCCCTGTGGTGTACCTTCCCATTTTGGAGACCACTCTGATAAAGAGATTACAAGTATAGTCAAAGCCCATTTGTTCTTGTGTCTCATATTTCTGAGGATCCAATATTTTGTTTAGGATGAAGTTGATGGTTTCTGAGGCTCCATGATAGATTCGTGATGGTTTATTGTACTATTTTCTCTACTTTTGCTTATGCTTGAAAATTTACATAATACAGAGTTTTAAAAAAAATGTACGCTGCTACACAATAACTGAAAACAAAGGGAGGAAAAGGTCAGGCTCTCTGCACGTACCTTTCTTCTTTATCACATATGGACATCTTTCCTCAAACTCTCCCAGTAGACTTTCTCTTATATCTCATTGGCTTGAACTCAGAAGACTCTTCCCCCACTTTCCCTATTTCCCACCCACAGACTCACTTTTTTATTTACCTTCAGGATATCAAAGCTAAATTTGTAAATAAAGAATCCTGAGATTGTAAAACATCCTTTCTTCTTGGCATTTTTCTAAATCATTTATAAATTCTGTGTTGCTGCTGCTTTATGATTTAATATTTTTAACGTAATTGTATGTATTATTATAAGCTACCTTAAGTGTTCTGTGAATAAGTGGTGATATTAATAAAAACAAGCAATGGGTAAACATTTTATTTATGGTATCCTTTTCTCTTCCACTTTATGAGATATTGCATTCTTATAGATGAGAAATTTAAAATTGTGAAATGGATTAGTAAGAACTATTGGAATATTGGTATTTTTAAAGTAACACTTTTTGTTGAGAAAGCCATCTTAATTTCCACGTATCAAAATGGAGCATTAATTTCTTTTGGAAATGTTACTTTCACCTTCAAATATCTTGTCAAATAGTAGTAACTATCTCATATTGTCTTTCTTTTTAAGATACGGAATATATGAACGCTGCCGAGAACTAGTGGAAGCAGGTTATGATGTACGGCAACCAGACAAAGAAAATGTTACACTCCTCCATTGGGCTGCCATCAATAACAGAATAGATTTAGTCAAGTAAGTATTTCTGTATTTTTAAGTAATTAGTTATTATAAAATTATTAGAAATAATTATAAAGTATATAATTTCTAAAATTCATTATTTTTAAAATGTAGATTCTATGTGCCTTTTTTCCTGAAAAAAAATTGTTTTTAACATTTAGTGAATGCTTATTATTTGCCAGGTACTGTTCTGAGTGCTTTTTCATGAATATTTTCTTAAATCTTAGTTCTTGAAACAACCCTATGTGAAAAATAACAGTTTTTACTGCTGTCCTAATGATGTAAAAACTGAGGCATAAAGAGGTTAAATATGCTACCAGTGATACACAGCTGATGTTGGAGTCAGGACTTTAACTCAGACAGTCTAACTTGCAGCTCACATTTTAAATATGAATTCTAGGGGGAAAAGCTACAAAAGGAAAGAGAGGGGTTACAAAGATAATATAGGTAATAATAATCTCACACCAGCTTAAATGAAGAATATTTTACATACTCAGTAAAAATTACTTTTATTAGTTACTGTTAATCTGCTTATTTAACAATAGTAGGTAGTAATTAAATAAGCAAGAGTCAGAATGATAAAATCTTTCTTAGTAAATCCAGTTTAGTAGTCTCTGACAATTTGGAAGTAAGATCTTTAGATAAAGACATGAGTCTGATATGAACTGCTTGCAGATGTGCTGTGAGTACAGCATATAGAGTTTAGAGACAAATGGGATGTTAATGTCAGGTAAAAGAATTTGCCCTTAGAGTACTAAAGAAAGATTAAGCAAGTAATAACTAAAGCATTGAACTCCATGAATCACTTTCTTCCAGAGAATGTATTTCCTTTTATTTGTTCTTTGTGTCCTTTTTGTATTTCTAACCTTCCTTCTGCATTCAGTATGGGTCTCCTAACATCTGAATTCTGTTTTTGTTTGTCAGAAAATGTTTTTACTTCCACCTATATTTGTGAAGGAAATTTTCGCATGGTATGGAAATCTAGGTTGGCAGTTTTTGTTTGTTTTATTTTTGTTTACCCATTGAAAATAACGTTCCACTGTCTTCCGGCTTCTGTTACTTTGAGAAATCAGTCTAAGTGTTGCACTTTTAAAGGCTTTTTCTTTTTCTTTTTTCTGGCTGCTTTTAAGATTTTTTCTTTGTTTCTGGTTTTCTGCAGTTTCATGATGATGTTTCTAGGTGTGGGTTTCTTTTTATTTATCCTGAATGAGACTGCAAGAAATTCTTGATTCTGTGGATTGATGTTTTCATCAGTTCTGGAAAATCTCAGAGCTATTACTTCTTCAAATATTGCTTCTGCCCCATTCTCTTTTTGCTCTCCTCCTGGAACACCAGTTAAACGTATGTTTGACCTTTTCATTGTGTGCTCTTTATCTCTTACTCTTTTCTCTGCTTCATTCTGGAAACTTCTTCTAATTTATCTTCCAGTTCATTTATTCTCTATGTGTAATCTGCTGTTAAATCTATTCAACATGTTCTTCATTTTGTTTATTTTTTAGTTCTAGAATTTCAATTATGTTTTTCAAACTTCTGTTTTTTGATTCATTTGTAGCTGAAATTTTCCATCTTGTCTTGTATACTTGAACATATAATTATTATATAATCTTTGTCTAAGAAGACAGCATTTGGAATCTGTGTGGGTCTGTATCTGTTATGTTGATCCTTTGTGTGCCTGATAATCTTCGAATGTATACTAGACATTGTGTTTGAAAACTTATTTGTTGAATAATTTGAGGCCTAAGATGAGAAGATCCCATTTGTTTCTGCGACGTGCAACTTTAATTTAAAGCTTTAGATTGTCTGGATCACTCAGATGGCTAAAGACCATGCTACAGCCAGGGTTACTTCTGGTTCTTCATTACTCCTGCAGTGCAGCTTTTTGGGGTCCCAACCTTTATTTTGCTTTTGTCTGCGTAGCTTGCCTCTTGGCCAACTCTTCTGCATCAGCAGTTGTCTCTAGGGCAGATGGGGCCCAAGCGGTTTTCTAACTTCTCCCAGTTTTAACCTTCTCCTGAATCTTTGCCAGGTAAATGCTCTTAATCTTCTTAGGCTTTGCTTTTTAGGAAATGTTTCTTTTACTTCATTGAGCTTTTTAAAGTTTTCTTTAATGAAAGGGTTGGCTCAAATTATCTAGCCTTCTATAAGCCTCTGTATTTTTTCAGTTAGTGTTATTTTAATCAAAATAGTATATAAACAATTTTAAAAATCAAATAGTATTTAAAGGCTTACAATGGGAAACAGCAATCCCTTCCTACCCCCTGGGTTCTGTACCCCAAAAGTAATTATTTTTAATACTTTGGCTGTTTCTTTTAGTATTTACTCTTGTATTTTATATTTTATGTTGCTACTTTTATCTACAAAGCTGTCTATACAAATGATAGCAAATGATTTTCTGCTTTTTTCATTTAATTTATGTATCTTCAAGATTTCTCATATCAGTGCACCTAGAGCCACATCATTCTTTTTAAAAAGCTGTATAATATCCAATTGTATGGACGTAATTTTTTTAATGGTTTACCTACTGATGAACATTTAGATTGATTCTAGTGTTTTTACTACTTCAGTGTTGTAATTAATACCTTGTTCACATACCATTTTGCTTATATTCATGTATGTTTGTAGGAGTCTCAGAAGTAAGAAAGTTGGAAGGATGAATTTTGAATCTTAATAAATGCTGCCAATTTTTATGCTATTTCTTAATTTATATTTGACTTTATATTTTGGATAACTAGGTATTCTAAGTCACCTACCCCACTAATACTTCTCCCCTCCTCTGTTACAATTTTACTTAAATTACTATGCAACGTTTAAATTGTTGGAAGTGTGTAAATTTGTACTGATAAGCCCAAAAGTGTTCCATGATTATCTGTTTTTTTCTGTAGAATTGTAATTTTTATCCGAAGTAATAGTTGTTTCATTTTTTTTCTATTTGTTTAACTTTCTATGTATTATAATTAATTATTCCCATACTTTTAGACAGAACTGTAAAACCCATCTCTGTATGCAAACAGTATTTGATAATTTATCGGTTCCTTTTTTGGTGGAGGAGGGAGTATGAAGTCATTCTTGGCTTTCTCCATCTTTCTGTTCCAGCCCAGACTGTTGCTCTTTAGAGCGACATATAGTCATTGTCTTGAGACTTACCTTTGCATTCATTCTGGGAAATCCCTTTGTTCCAGTGTTAGTCTCAGTTTCCTGGATCTCACGTTTTTGTCTCTGTTGGTTTACTCCTTGTTTTAGTAGCACACATTTTCTGATAACTTTCCACAAGAAAGAACTTGGGAGGTAAATGTTTTGAATTTACTTTCTCTTCTGCCCTCACACCTTATTTGTTGTTTGGCTGAGCATACACTCTAGATTAAAATTGATTTTCTCGGAATTTTAAAGCATTTGTTTTTGTTGTTGTTTCAAGTGTTACAGTTGAGACACGTTTGATCTCATTCTGTTGATCAGAAAGATCACATTTGTCTTGTGTTTAAAAATAAACAAGGAACTCTGAAGTGAGAAATACAGACAGAAAGTCTTGACATTCGTTGCCTGCCTTACAGTTTTTTCCATCACTTATGGACAAGTGCGGTTACAGAATAAAGTCAGTAATTATAGAGTAAGTTAATAATTACAGTGTCTGCGTATATTATATCTTCTGGGTGGTAAACTTCATTTCTTACAATACATAGTCTAGCAATTTACTTCCCTAAAACAAACAATGGTGAGTAAATGCAGTTTTTAGTAATAACTGGTATTTATAGCCTCAAGATTAATTTTTACTTCTCTTTTGTCTTGTTTATTGAAGTATAGTCAGTTACTTTTGAGTCCAGAATTACACCCTATTTAAAAGCTGTAGTGTATTACTATTTCATGGATGCTGGCAGAAGATACATGACTCAGGTAGACACAAAGGACCTTATTCTTCATAGCACAGCAAATAGCATGAACATCATATTTGTGTAAATCCCTCTTGCTCCCTGCATCCTATGGGAGTGTCTTGATATGGTCCAGATGGATGCAGTACATACAATTAGATAGTCTTTGCTTTTATAGTATATGGAAAGCAAGGTTGCTCTTTGTCCCAGAGGGAGATGTTACCTCATCTCTCAGGGTGGCCTGATGCAAACACATCTCTCAGAAATGGCCTATGTAAAGAGTAGTCAGGACCTTGTAGTCTTCTCATGTACTCAGCAAGACTTATGGGAGCTCCAGAGACCCATGGAGAAGTGTCTCTTCTAATAGTTATGTTCTCTCAGGATGTATTAAAAGAACTTATTGCAAGCAAAGTAATTCCATCACTTTCATGATTTTAAGATATAAAGTCAGTATAATTTAGAAAGGAAGAGACCTTCACCCAGCCTGGATTGTTTATATTCCTAGTGTTTTCAAGTGGAAGTCTTTCAGCTGTTCTTAGATTTATACCCTAATGTAGTAAAATAGAAAGGACAGGCCCAGGCTCTTGTCTTTGGCAGTCCCCTGTTACCTCAGGATTCTTCATTAACAACAGCTAATAATGCTTGTAGTCTCTGATTCAGTTTGATTTCAAGTCAAGGCTTTCATAACAAATACATACATCAGAAATTGACACAACATTGTAAACTGACTATACTTCAGTTAAAAAAAAAACAAATATGAGGCTTTGTTTAAAAATACAGAGCTTATAATTTATGAGAACACACTGTGTATGGCTTATTCTTCTTCCCTGGCAACCAGCATATATGTTTTTTTTCCTGATCCTGACTTTGTGAAAGTTTACATTACTGTGTATTGCTATGGTTCTTTTTATTTATTTATTTTAAATTCAGATTATGACCATTAAGTAGCCACTTTTAACCTGAAAACTTGCCTTTTTAGTTTCGGGAAGTATGCTTGTGTTGTGCCCCCAAGACTGCCTCACTTTCATTTTCTCTGTTTTTTCTTTCAGGAACTTTTATTTGTCAGATACTGGGATCAACCAGATTGATTCTTTCTTTTTCTTATCTTTATTTCAACTGCCTTTTATAGCTATTGTACTTTGAGGAGATTTTCTTAATTTATCTTCTAATCCTTTTGAATTTCTAATTTTATCTGTTACATTTTCAATTTCAAAGCATTCTTTCTTGATCTCTGCCCCCCCATTCCTTTTAAAAAATACTTTATTCTTATGTCATGAATATATTATCTTCTCTTATTGTTTGGAGGTTATTAATTAGAACTTTTGTTTTTTAAGTTTTTCTTCTCTATATATTATCTGTTTATTTTGGGCTTCTTCAGTTTATTTTGATCTCCTTCAGTTTGAAGCTTTCCTCAATTATCTGGTCATATTTGACCATTCATATTCAGGGAAGACATAACAGAGCTGATTGGAAGTCACAACAGGAACTTCCCAAATGTCTGTTCAGCCTGTAGACTTTCATTGTTAGATTTTCAGTACAGTGTCTCATATGATTCCGTGATTTAATTCCCTGAGTCTCAAACTTCTCTGTTGAAGATGCACTAAATACACCTTTTGGCAAACACTGAATGGTTGATTGTTAAAATCGACATAAGCCAGAAATTACGATCATACAATCAAACTTAGAGACACAAGAGTGAGCCTGCACTTTAAGAGTTTGAATTATTTGAGTAGTCACTTTTTAAGATTATAATACACAAAGAATACTTGTCTAACACTGTCAGCTGCTTGATTGCTTCCATGTCACTGAAATGCCTGTTGTGATGCTAAATAAATACTCACTTTCATTAAGTTTCATTATTTCTAAGAATGTAACTTAGAAAACAACAATTTTTCAGCAATTTATATAGACTTTGAACCAGTATTTCTGTTTATAGTCCAGTTTCTTATTACTTTCTTTGGAGGTAACTATTGCCTTTAATCCCATAGCCTTTCTAGGGTTTTATAACATATTCTGGTTTGCTTCTCATTAGTGTCCCCCTCTGGAGACATCTGAGTGTTACCTATTTGCTTATAATTTTCAAATAATTGTTGATATCTCTTGTTCATGGATAATTCCTTCTCAAAATCTACAGCTCATTAGTACCTGCAAGAATATTTCTTGATAATAACCTTACAGTATTACAAGGAGGTTTGAGTTTAAAAATAAGAATTATATGATCTTCTCAGAGTTTTGTAGTTTTCAGCTAGGGTCTTCAAGCTACAAAAAATGATGTGTTATAAAAATATAACACTTCTCTTTGAAAAGCTTACAGTGAAAAGGTGGTAGGAGTTATTTTTTAGCATGCAGGAAAAAAAGTTCCCCTATCCTTGTGGAAAAAAGTTGTACTTTAGAACTAGTGGAAATCACTTATTGCCGTAGTCCTAGGAAGGATTTGAAAGGTGAATAAAAATAACTCTCAGGAACAGATATTTTAACTATAAAGAAGGTAATAAAATTGCTTTAAAAAACATTCCAATTGGAATTTTTAAGAAAATATTTCCTATTAAAACTGTTCTTTTGCTGTGCTATACTTTTCTTTGGGCTCAAAAAAACCATTTTTTAACTATTATATGATGTCTACTGGATGCCTTAAGAAGCAATTTAGGAATATTTAAATGTTTGTGTTCAAACTGTTGTCTGATATTCTGGACTTGAAATATTTTAGTCTGGAAGTATTTTAGTTACTTCATACTATTCCATATGGTAGAGTGGAGTTGGGCCCTTCATTGCATAATGCTTTAAAAGTACCGTTTTAACAAATACTTATATAAAGCAGAAAATTTCTGAATCAAGCTTGTAAGTATGACTATATTAAATGTTTAGAACTATGAGCATTAAGAGTGAATGCATTCATGATTTAAGGCAGTAATCAGAATAGTTTAAGAGCCTCAGTTATTCAGATACATCAGACATTTGACATCAGGTGCTTTGAAATCATTGTATTCAAGATTCATTACATCTATCAGTCCCAAAGCAAACATTATATAAGCAGCTAGGTCCTGTTCATTTTAGAGGTTCTCAAGATGTTATGACATTAATGTAGTAAGCAACAAGGTTGCTCTTTTTAAAGCAACACAGCTTCAAAAGCATAACAAATAGGGTGCCATAAAGAGCCTTTATGTTATACTTTACATTTATGACATTATTTTTCATGTGCTGTTTTATTTAACCCGTAGTAATCTTGTGAGGTAAGTAAAGCTGAGCTTAAAGAGCTGAGCTGCTACCAAGGGTCTGGCATACTCTATAAGGTTCTGATTCCAAAATTCTGTCTACTGCTGCTGTCTCATCCAAATCTTTGTGGTTCTCTGACTGCCTTCTTTTTTTATGTGATTGTTATTTGGTATTGGTATTATTTTTTGTAACTTAAGAAAATTATTTTCTGTTTACTTCTGGAACAAAAGAGTGATGTATTTGATATAATATCCTACTAAATATATTTTTAAAACTCACTGAAGACCATTTATTGTCTAGCATGAGGTCTAAAATGAAAAACATTTATTTCTTTATTTTTCACATATTTCTTAAAATTGAAAATGAAAACTATCTGAAGTATTTAAAATTTTGTCTTATAGATACTATATTTCGAAAGGTGCTATTGTGGATCAACTCGGAGGAGACCTAAATTCAACTCCATTGCACTGGGCCACGAGGTTTAAATTTGCTTCTGGATTTTTTTTTCTTTGGTTCCTTTAATAGCCTATAACTAAACAACTATTTTTCCCCCTTTAAATGATGTGCTAAAGTGAATGGGAGAACTTGTTATGCCGTAGTTAATATCAATAATGTACTAAAATGTATTGCTGTCCACTGTTACCTGCATTGGAAGCAAAGTTTATTTTCCAAAGTGTCCTTAAGGAATTAACTATGCTGATATTAATCTGGTTAGTTAGAAAATGGGATTAAGCTTTGGGAATACTTTTTCAGCCTATATGTATTACAGCAAAAGAAGTATCAAGTTCATGGGACAATTAAGGTCATATTGGAACAGGATTACTAGAGTATAATAACTATTTATTACATATTTAAAGAAGTTACAAGTATCTATAAATTTTCAAAGACTTTTATGCCAATTAAGACTTAAGAACATAATATCCTAAATGTACCTTGATGTATGTCTATTTTGAAATAATGTGAAATAAGATTTTTGTAATTTTTCCACCATTTTAAAATCTTTTTCATTTTTTTTTAAACTTCTTTTCAGAGTTACATATTTAAGTGTTTATTCTTTTATGTTTTAGGCAAGGCCATCTATCTATGGTTGTGCAACTAATGAAATATGGTGCAGACCCTTCGTTAATTGATGGAGAAGGATGTAGCTGTATTCATCTGGCTGCTCAGTTTGGACATACCTCAATTGTTGCTTATCTCATAGCAAAAGGACAGGTAAAAAAATCACAGTGGTGTAGATTTTAATCAGATATTCTTAACTACCTAATATCATTGGTGTTAACAAGTGTAACAACCTGGTGATATTTAAATAGTACTTTCTAGTGGGTGAAGAGAATAAATAAATAGGTAGGTATTTTGCTATTGAATTATTTAATATAGTTAACATAAAAATATGAAAAACAGTCATGATCCAGATAATAATCCATTAAGTTGGTTTTTTTATTTCTAAGAGTGATAGAGATGAATGCTAGAAAGTAAGAGAAAATTTAGATATCTTTTTGCTTCCCTTAATCACTTCTTTTGACTATATCATCTGAATTCATTTAAACTTTTTAAAACATATTACTGGTTATTTTCTATATTAAGTCCCTCTTGAGGGAGATAAATGCCTTAAGATCATTTTCTCAGTTCCTGCTGTGTAAAACACTGCTTTTTACATGGCAGAAAAATTCTCATAATGTAAGTGTTTCTTCCTGACTCTTCCTTAATATGTAGTGACTATAATCACATTAAATATTGTCAGTTTATGCGTACCATATCTTTGTAATAAACGTATTTTGCTAAAAGTAGTATCACTCAATTTGTCTTTCATGAGTTTTCTCTGGTTGTACTTAAACATTAGTTTTATAGCTAAGGATCTCATCATAAGAGTGAGACAGATGATTTTAGTTCATTGCTATTAGAACATACTTGTTATTTTAATTTAAAATAATTAGATTTAGAATTTGAATAGTATTTATTATGAATCCTTTAAAGTGTTTATTGTTGGCAGTGCTCCAGTGGGTGTTGTGCACTGTTGCTAAGGAAAAGAGGCATAGGCTGGTTAATTTCTGGAAGGAGGAGTTTATTTTCTATTACTGTGTTAATAGACTGCCCCCTAAGTCTAATGGCTTTAGAACAGTAGGAGCCATTATATTTCATGAGTCTCTAGGTTGACTGAGCTTGATTGGGTGGTGGTTCTTGTGATAATGGCTGGGGGCTGCACTTGTCTGGGGGCTTGACTGGGCTGGAGGATGCTTGCATACCTTGTACCTTGATAAGAAGGGCTAAAAGGCTGGGCTCAGTTGGCTTATTGGGACAGCTAGCCCTCTCTGTTTTTCTCCATGCAGTCTCAGAACTTCTTCTCCACAACTCCCCTCCATGTGTTCTCTCTAGCATGGAAACCAAACTTCTTACATGGTTGCTCAGAGTTCCCAAAAGAACAAAAGCAGACATCTGACTTTTTTAAGGTCTTGAACTGGCACAGCCACATTTCTGCTCCATTCTGTCAGTTAAAGCAAGTAACAGGTCCGGCCCATGTTCACAGCCATGTGGAAACACAAGGATGTGAACACTGGAAGGTGAAGTTTATTGGGAGCTATCTTTGGAGACCAGCTACCCCAGGGGATCATCTTTGTGCTCCCACAGTTCATTCTGGACTGGAGGTTGAAGCAGTAGATGGCGTTATTGCACATGACATCATCTTTAGTGGCCTTCTCTAGTGCAGATATTAAGTTTACAATATACATTCACTTTTTTCTTCTAGTTTTTAACTAGGTAAGAAAAGTGTTAAGTTTTGACTCTTTTTCTTAGCTTATTGATTTTGGAATTTGGATGTTTCAGTAATCATTTGAACTCTGGCATAGTATGTAGGCCATAAAATTCTTAAAGAGCAGAAATTCTGTCACAGTTCCTTTTGTACAGTAAATGCATGGTAGTGTTAATACATGTCTGACAGATAATTGGCTTTCTTTTTCAGGAGTAAGTTTTTTTTCCTGCTTATGGAAGTAACACATGCTTAATGTTAAATATTCAAACATAGTAGCAGAGTATGACTTAGAGAGTGAAATCCCACCTCTTCCCTTACCTCCTCCCTCTATTGAGAACACTTTCTTTAACAGTTTAGTATATATTTTTCTAGAACTTTTTCAATGTATGTGCTAAAATACTACCACTAAAAGCACTTTACAGCAGTAAAAGAAAACTGCTCTAATGTGCTTTATATCATACTTTAAATGCGATCCAAAGTCGTCCTGTGGCTTACAGAATCATGTGTGATCCACTCTGGATACCTCTCCATCTCATCTTCTGTCATCTCCCTCTCACTCACTGTGCTGAACCACACCAGTCTTCTGGCTGGTCGTTGAACAGCTTTGGTGTGCTGTTGTCTAAGGCCTTTGTGCTGGCTCTTCTCTTCTGCTTGGTAAATTCTTTCCTTAGTCACATGGTTATCCTTTTCTCTCTCACTTCAGTCAGATGTGTTCAAATTTTATTAGTTCTGATTAGTTCCCAGTTATAAGCAGTAATAAAATCAGTGTATTTTTAACTTCTTCTTTCTCTTCCCTGTCTTAACACTGACATTAGTCCATAATACTGTTTTTCTTGGTGTAAACTTTGTTCTGATATATAACTACATTTCTGTCACTTGACTTTTCAACTTTAAGTAATATCCTTTGACTCATAGCTCTTGCAGATTAGACACTCATTATACTTTCTTTTCAGTCTTTTCCCACCCTCCCTCATTTGTTGTTAATTTTATCAAATTTACATTCTTAGGGCATATAACATTGCCATTTAGTTTGTCATTCTATTCTTCACAATAGTTTCTTTTTAGTTACACTGTTAAATATATTCAGTGCTCACTGCCAATTCTTTTGGGTGATTTTCAGGAGAAAAAGGGGAAAATGCTAAGTTATGGAGCCCTGTTGATCATGGAATTCCCATGAGCTTTTAATCTGGGTTTGTTAATTCTTCCTAATAGAGAATACTCATACGTCCAGGCTGAACTTGGAAAAGAAGTACCAAGTTTTAAATCCTGATCCAAAGAGAGAAAAGGTTGAATTTCATTTTTTTTTAGTACTCTAGAGATGTGGCATAATTTTTAATTTTTATTTTGTTTGTTGATATTTTAATACTATCACTTTTTAAAAAGGATATGAAAAGACTCACAACTAAAAAGGAAGAAATTTAAACATAAGAATTTACATGTTTGTTTTAATTGGACATCAAATTTAATTGAGCTTTCTTGAAACCAGAGCAGTAAAGGAAGTAAAATAAGTTTCATTACTTAGCTCTCATATAAGAAACAAGGAAGTTTACCATTATTTTCAGAGAAGATTTTTTTTTTTGGAAAAAAGTAAACATGTATAATGTAAATATTGAGTGAGTTACATGTTTCCAACAACACTTAATAGAAATTTAGAAATAGATTTGTAATGGATAAGGCATAACATTTGATTGTAATATTCATGAGAGGGACTAAAACTAGTGACATCTTAGGATATGTGTTGCCACTTGTCTAAAGTAGTGGTTCTCAGCTCTTTCTGCCCCAGTATGCTTGGATAATGTTCATATTTGAGACGTATTCCCATCTGTAAAGATGCCTTACAGGGAACTGCTATATAGAGTTATGAAATGTTTTGCAGTGTACTCACTATAACTCTGTCCTTTCTCCACTGACTGGTGAATTAGGTAACGTAACTTGGATTAGGACTGCTGGTTTAATAATCCATAGGAATGCGAGGTGGGGAAGGGAAGAAGAGGAAACTTAATACATATTGAATGTCGTGTTCCAGGCTCTAGACTAGGTTGCTTTACACACATTATTCCATTTAATCATCAGAAAGATCTTATGAAGACAGTATTTGTATTCACATTTTTAGATAAAAAAGCTGAGGCTCAGAGAATTTATTTTGGCAGCCTTACAATTATTAACTAAACTGGTGGATCTAGGAATTCAAAACCATGTCTATCTTATTCTAAAGTCTATCTGTGCCTTTCCCAAACCTAGAAAAGTAGATAGATAAACATGTCTTGTCATTTAACAAATGGTTTTTCATTATCTGTCCTGTTTGGCACTGAGAGTACAAAGATGAATTTAATTTTGATCCTCAAAGAACTTCTTTTCTAGTTAATGGGACAGATAACTTAGGCACATAGGAGAATCAGTCCAGATTGGAGTGGGTCAGAAGAGAGAATTTTAGGGGGAAGTGAAACTGATAGAATCCCTAATACATCAGC